AAATATGATATAAATAATTTTTTTTTGAGTAACTACTTAATCAATTTTGTCCTTGTTAGAATCTTTTTGAAGTCACTAATCTTCAGCTCTTTTGGCATTGAAATCCCTCATTACTAGCCGCAAGTTGTCTATGGTTTTACCCCTGACAAGGTTTTTTTAACATATACGTAGGCGACAAGAAAATAAAAAAAAAAGAAACGCAGTTTATAGTAAAAGACATATTTGTGTCTCCGATGATGGTGAGAACTGGTTGATTAGTCGCATAGAAATATCATTAATTATCCACTCACCGAATAATATTAACGACATCATAAACAGATTTTTGATAATGCATACGCTTTCGTTATTTTATTTACCAATTAAATACAATATAACTAATTTTCTATGATGAATCCAAATTAAATCCAAAGGAAAAAAATGAGAATACTCAATAGAGCAACATGTTATTGAACTAACAATTCTAAAGAAGGATCTTATTTTTCATTCAGAACTTCGTATGATGAGCCTACTAGGTCTATGTTTGTCTGTAGTTTCTCTTGGCATTATGTTTTTTCCATTTTCTCACGAAGCCATACTTACGCATATAGGTGCAATTTAATCGCATTTTGTGTTATTATTATATAGTTTTAGTAGAATCATCTGCCGGTAAACTTGACTGAGAAAAAGAAGTAGGTGAAAAAAAACTGTAAAACATACTTTTCTAGTGAACTTAGAATACACTCTATTCTAAAGAAGAAGAAAAAACAAATGTCAATTTGCACCTTCTCTTATTCATGCATATAAAGTATCATTGACTTGAGTGGTATCGATCAACAAATTGTCTTATCATTCATGTTTTTCTATATCGATACACACAATCAACTAAAAGATTGACGTTTCAAGCTTAAAACTTAGCTAGTGATGACATATAATGATAGACAAAAACGCTATAGTTGAGAAACAGAAAAGAAACAATGCATAGACATATTGACGTCATGATAAAAGGCATGGACAATTTGTCAAGTAAAAAACTGCAACAATAATACTTGCAAGACAGAAAACGATATCTTTGTGCGCATATTTATTGGGAATAGATTCACTTAAGGTTGTTGTTTGACCAACATCTCTATAGTACTCTTTTGGTTTATATTGGTAGATAATTAACGTGCCAACATATGCGGCATAAGAGTATCAACATGGAAAAACTAAGAAAATAAATAGTTCAGGAACACTTGTATACTGATAAGAACCATACAAAAAATAAAAAGAAACCCTATTATGCAGCAAAACTTGTTTTGTTTGATTCTAAATTTGACATAAGATCTATAAACAATCATAACCCAAGAGAATTGAAGATTATAAAAAGGAAAACCAATACATTGTTATTGACCATTTGGGACTTTTTATACAACAATCCCAATCAAATACAAAAGAAAAATTGCTTTTACAATTCGTATTATAATAGAAAAAAATTAGAAAAAAAAATACTCACATAAAATCATGGTCTTTAATCATCGATAGATACAATGTTTCTTTTTTCTCCATATTACCGGTAAAAGGCGCAAGTTTTCTTGTAAACGATAATGTCTTGAGAAAGATTAGGAGTGGTAATATGAGAAGAACGAGAGAAGAATTATGTGTGTATCTTTGTTTTGCTATTCATAATCTACATACATTAGGAAGATAATCTGTGTTATTAGGCAACAATCAAGTCTATTCTGCAGCTAACATTGACGTTAAAGATATTAGAAAATATTTTTAAAATGAAAAAAAAAGAAGTTTTTATCTTAAAAAGATTTTAAAATGCTTGTCAAGCTGGTTTTGATAGTTCAATATAATAAGAAAAAAAGTAAATTCATCTTGTCAAAATGTGTTCATTCTATAGTACTAACTTCACTTTTATATTCCACTAAAAGCAAAAAAACATACGCAAGCATGTCATTCTAGATAGGCAATTTGTGAAAATTGCATATAAAACGATACATTGTAAATTTGAAAAGTGTTTTTTTTCTTTCCTTTTTTTCTTTGTTCTAATTTCTATGTTATTAATAAAATAGTTGCTGAAAATTTCTCATTACAATTACTAATCTATTTTTCATTACTTACTAAAGATTATATAGCAGTATATAGCCTAATCTTTGTAGGCAATAGCATAAATTGATTTTTTTGTTCTACCCATCATATGTCCTTTCTCATATGATTATCGATTTAGAGTTTTCTGTATTTTTCTAAGAATTCCAATGCTGATGAATAAAGAAATTAGCCAAAGTTTACCAAGGCTACTTACATACTGACAATAACTAAAGAACAAGCCAAATTGTCATGTGTATGCCTGTATCATATATGCTGACTGACTGACTGACGTTGCAGTTCGGTAAACGATCAAATAAGCAAAGAATAGAAAAAGGAAATGCTTTATGTAAATTCTTTTTTCCTATCTCACATCATGATCTCATTGAATCAATGATCTACACTTGGTTCTTGTATTTCTGTTTTTTTCTCGATATAGATAAATAGATATATAAATATAAATATATACATATAAATATATTCGTCTTATGTTACTAGGAGATCGACAATCGTAAGACACAAAGTATAATCATCATCCGGTGTCCTTCATTTCTTGCCATAATGTCAAATGTTTGATATAGTAATACCCAGAGCAATTGACGCGCTCGTCTTGTTGTGCCTGTATCACAAGGTCTCAATACAAACAAAAAAAGAATTGTGGCAATTTGGAAAACCATAAGCCTTTTTTTTGACAAATCTATAGATTATATTTGTTGTTTCTTTCGCATCATTCTCTATCGAGGCTGTCTTTGTTGTTGTTTCATATCACAAGCATAACCCATCGTATTATTTGTTAATTTTTCATTTCTTCATCCTTATCCATATTCCTTATACATTGATTATTGTTTTTCAACAAAAAAGAAATAATTAAAATAACGAAGACAAACAAGTTCGATTATAGATTATGATGTTTTCTGTCCTTGTCGTGATTGAGAACATCAACAGAAATGAGTAATTAGAGTATTATATATTTGTTTGACTATATGATCGTGGAAAATGACTAGGCTGCGTGCATAACATTTTTCTTGATTACATGCTTAAATGTCACTCGCACATGGCCTGGACGATTGTCAAGCTTCATAATTGAAATAAAACATCAGGAACAAGCGAATTGTTGGGTTTAGTGTATATGATTGGTCGCAATACAAGAAAAAATTCATGTAAGAAACCTTAAAATGCAAAATATGCCTCTTACCAGAATAGAAATGGATCTATGACAAGATCACAAAATAAGATTGATATAAAATCATATTTGTTGAGAAAATCCAAATCTGTTTTTGTTTCTTTCATCTTTTCCCCCTTATGCAATAAAATGACTGATACATTGATTTTCTACTCAATCGTGCATACTTTCTTTTCATCTATACAACAAATAATATTAAAAACCTTTATTGAGTTTTTCCGGATCTACCCGTAATCTGTCAGAAGTAATTTGTAATGTTGTCTATCAGTGAATTTTTTTTAATATACTCTGCACAATATTTTATCTGGCTAAGATCATCATTGGAATCAGTTATGTAAAAGTACCTTGTCATCTATTTTAATATGTTTGTCTAATTTAATAGAGAAAAACTTGCGATAGAATCAAGTAGACAAGTTATTTAAGTTAGTTGTATTCCTTAATGTTTTACAAATTAGTTAATTTGAATGACAATACGAGAGTGAACAACTTTTGTTCTCAAGTCAATTACATAAAAAATAAGACAATATTGATTGACAGTCATTAATTCAATCGAAACAACAAATTAGCATCCAATTAAATAACTTACTCACATGAATCGTAAAACACGGAACAATGAAACTCTTACAATTTTATTAGATGATCAAGATATAAATAGTATCAAAAAAATTCATTTACCTAATCATTCTCTATAAATAGTCACTTATTTGAAAATGTTTAATAACAATCATAATCTCAAAATAGAATTTGAGATTAGCACAGACTAGAGGTATAATAGATTCTATTTTTATATCGTGACAATATCTATGAAATACAATACTATTGCTTTTATTACATATGAGAAGACTTTAGTAACATCCATTGTCATTTAAGTGTTGTTTACTACATCATTTATTACAGACAAGAACAGATAAATGATAAAAATCTTAACACCTTGCTCTTTTTTCTAATCAAAGATAATACCATAACTTTTTTCATCATGGGTTCTATGATTGACAAAACTATCTGTAATAGCCTAAAGGTATAAAAGAACTCTACTGATAATATCAATCAACATTATCATGGATTGTTGATAAAACATAGTAAAGTAAACTATATGTAAGTACTATCCTGATAATAGATGTTTTGATATATTTAGCTACGGAGAATACACTATATTGCTTGTAATTAAGTTTTCTTTTCATTTCAACTTCACGCACTATGTCGATATGTGGAAATCAATCTACAAACAAGTTAATCGGTCCAAGCCTTTTTATTGGTTGATTTTTACATGAATCGATATTTTATATTTTTCTTTCAATGATATATTCCAAATGTTAGTCAACTTTAATAGCTGTTATTTTGTCAAATATGTCTCGTTTTTTTTTCTTATTCTGTCACTCTAAAGATACTTCTGATTAACATTAATGTTGACTTTGACAAGTGCAACATATGTTACTAATAGAATAAAGAACTTCTCTATATTATCTATGTGATTAATGTTATACACTAATCTTCGTACGGTAAAAATGAAAGATAAACAAACGACAAATATTATCTTATGATTAGCAATGATGAGAAAAGGCAAAGAATTTTTTTTTTGTTTGATCTTCAAAATAATTCTGTTATCCTTGTCGTCATATGTTGCAGTTTCAAGGATGATTGCTAATATTATCATCAGTATGTTTATACATTGCCAATCTGAATGAGTGACAAGAAGGAAAAAAAGCAAATCATATTACACTACATTATCTAATACAACAACAAGAAAAAGAAAAACAAAGTTTAATTTTTATGTTTCTCCAGGTGTTCCATCGCTATTTTCAATAGATATAGTTTTAAAACAACCAGTTGGCAATGATTGTGCTATATCAAGTAAATTATTAACTTGATAATCAAGTTGATCATGAAGAAGAATGAATTGATCCGTTTGATTTTTAATAAAATATGCACCTGAATAAAACTGATCAATAGAACTAAAGATGTTATCTAATGAAAGTTTTTGAAATTCAATTTCAACTTCATCTAAATGGGTTGTATTTATTTGTGTTGAATAATCTAAAGAGAAAAAAAAATTAAAAGTTTATTTAGGTTTTTTTTGCTTTTTCTCTGTTCATACTTAATGATGATTGTAATGATTTAAGTTGTTCGAGTAATTTTCCAACTTGATCACGAGCAGAATTTATATCGTTTGTTAAATTTTTACCAATTTCAGAAGCTTTTTCAATACGACGAACATGAATATCTGCTTGCGATTTTATATTTTTTATATTATCAAGAGCAATTGATGATCGATTATTAATTGAATCAGTTTTAGCTTTTAATGGAATTAATTTTGCATCCACTCGTTCTTTGATTGCAGTGGAATTTTGAATCATATCCTTGAAAAAAACAAAAGTTTTCTTTTAAACAAAAATACGATCATTTTCTTACATTTCTATTATAATCTAATTTAATTTTTTCATGATTTTCAATAGCATTAAAAATTGTTGTATTAAGTAAACGATATTGATCATTTAATACCCAATATCGTCGAGATATCTCATTTGTACGATTTTGCATTGTGTCTAGACGATTATATTGTGTTTCAGCATCTTTACTTTGTGTATCTTTATCTTGAACAAATGCTAAATAAAAATTAAAAAAACAGATTAATTGACATCTTTAGATACATCGCTTTTTTTCCATACCGCGAAGATTTTGACGAATTTTTTGTACATCTTGTTCAATCATTGTTGTTTTTTCAATAGCTTGTCGAGCTTTATTTTCAGTTTGCTCAACTTCAGCAAATAAAGTTTGAGTTTCCTAATGAAAGAGAAAAATAATAAATTATAAAAGTTTCATAGTAGGATTTGTGAGACATACTCGAATAGCATCTTGAACAGATAATTGAAGAGCTTTTATTTCTCGATCAAAATTTTTTGACATATCTTGTAATTCATACATTTGTTTAACAAATATTTTCATATCATCTTGAAATTTCTTAACATCCTGAGAAATTTTTGTGACACGATCTCGAAGATTATTTGATAAATCAAGTGTAAGACCTGATTGATCAACAGATAAATTGGTTAAATTAGATTTCCATTCAACTGTTGCAATTTTCATTTCTTCAACACGACGAAGAAGATTTAATGATTGCTCTACAAGTTTTTGACGACGAAGATCAAGTGATGTTAATCTACATATATATATGTATATAAATCTTTATTATTATTTGTTTTTTGTTTAACACAAATTTTTAAACAAACCTTTGTTTCATATTATTTTCTAATTGATCACGAACTAAGGCTTCAGAATTACCTAATTTTGTATTGAGAAAAATTTCAGTTAAATGACTTTGATTTAAAGCATCATCATAAGATTTTTGTAATGTTTTTAATGTATCACGAAGATTATTAATGCGCATTTGCATAATTAATGTTTTATTAATAGCAGATTCATGTTTATTATCATTTTTATAACTGATTGGAGCGATAGTTAATAATATTTTATCAATTCGAGCTAAAATAACATGATTATTAAAAAAAAGAAAAGAATTAAATCAAAGCATTATTATCATACTTAATTGATATGTTGTATCAATTAGAGACGCATCATTAGATTTTTGAAGAATATCTCGAATACGATCATTTTGCGCAATAAATTCTGGCAATTCTCGTTCTAATTTACGATAGCGTCCTTCAAATTCAGTTACATTTAATCTAAATTGTGCATCTTGTTGATCATAGTCAGTTGTATTTCGAAAGACAAGTCCTGCTCCTAAACAAATATAATAATATTATTATGGAAAACTACAATAATTGTTAATCTTTACTTTGTAAATCAATTTTAAGATTATTTAAATTACTAGCTAATGCATCAAGTTCACTTGTTAATTTTTTATCTTCACGTAATGAATTAAATGTTTGAGATGAATTTAATGTTAAAATAGCATTTTGAAGTACATTAAGATCTCGTCGATAACGATTAACACGTTTTTGTACTTCTCGATAACATGATGGACAATCTTAATTTAATAAAAAGAAAAACGTTTAAAAAGAAAAGAATTTCAATTTTATTTCTATACTTGGACATTCAAAACCATCTCGATATTTATTTTCTTCACATAAATCACACATTTGTCCCATAAAATTTTCTTTACAAGGACATTGACCAGTAACGATATCACATTGAACATCAAGTGAACCATATTGATCACAATTACATGCTAAAATAAAATCTCAATGACAAAAAGAACAATGTTAATATATTCATTTACGTGAACATCCTTCACTTGAAAACCCATAATGATTAGGTAAACAACGATCACAATTTTCACCAGTTACACCTGGTTTACAATAACATTGACCAGTGTTAACGAAACATGAAATATTATAAGCTCCCATTGGATTACATTTACAAGTTTCACATCCTATCGAGAGAAACTATACATTAATTTCAATTAATTTTAAAGAAATTTACCTTGATCTGAATTAAGATTCCAATAACCATTTTCACATGTATCACATTGACGTCCTTGTACATTTGATTTACATGGACATTGACCTGTTTGTAAATTACATTGAAGGAGAGAATTATCACTATGACGTTGAGTTCCTTTTGGATGGCAATTACAAGCTATACATCAAATTAAATTAATATTGATTTATATGCTACAATAAAAAAGAAATAAATTACCATGACATTTTATGTCAAGTAATGCATCGCCCCAATGACCAGGTAGACATTTTTCACAATAAACACCATATGTATTACGAGTACAACGCAAACAATGTCCAGTGGTTCTATAAGATAGATAAAATGCAATTAAAAAAGTATGTATGACATAACTTACGTATTACAATTGCCAATTGTATTCGGATCAATATTTCCACTACAACTACATAATTCACAAGGTCTTCTTACACCAGTTATAAGACCTTCTGGATCACCAAAATATCCATCATCACAATATTCACATCGGTCACCTTAATAAATTAATCTATCAAGAAAAAAAAACCTTAATTCTATTATATCAAATTTACCTGTATATCCAGCTGGACAATTCAAACAAACAACATGTCCTTGTGGTAATTGTAATTGTGTACATGAAACACCAGCAGGACATGGACATTTCTGACAATCATCAGGTGTTCCTTGATGTGCTTGACCATAATATCCTGGTAAACAACGTTCACAATTATCACCTGTTGTATGATGTTGACACGCACATTTGCCTGTTTCAACATCACACGATAGCGAATGATTATGACAATGACATGGTACACAACTAGCAAATGGACCACCAAACGAAGGTTGTCGACGATAACCAAAAGCACAATATTCACAACGTTCTCCATAATAGCCTTGAGGACATGGTAAACAAGTTTCAACATTACCAATAGGAAAGAGACCAGTTGAAGGTGTAGAATGTCCAAGAGTTATCTCACCAAGAAAACTAACAGCATTGTCAACACCAAATGTAGCATGAATACGAATAGCAGTAACATTTGATAGAAGACGCATAAATTCAAGAAAAGATAATGTTGGTGACCAAGATTGTTCATTTAATCTTCACAAAAAACAAACGAAAATGAAATTATAGATATAATATTGCTAAAAGTATTTTTACCTAAATCGAAAGGTTAAAGGTTCTTCTGATGGAATTGTTTGTGGAACTCCTCCGTAAATAACAGCACCAACTTTTACGCCATTAGAACCTTCAATAGCTACATCAGCATGTGTATACATACGATTGACATTAGCTGGTGCACGTAAAATTAATATAAATGTCAAAAATTGATTATAAGACAAAGTACGATCACCCAAATAACGAGCTAAAAATAACATTACAGTTTTAGATATATTAATTGTAAAAAATAATTCCTTACGTGATGCCTCGAATGTTAGATCTTGACCAGGTGATGCTTGAACATAAATATAACTACCAGTGTCACTATAAAGAGGTACTTCATGTCCTGTTTGATTTACTCCTCGCCATCCGTCAACACCTAAGATAATTTTTTTGTTGTCATTTCCTATTAAATTATTCAAAGCTCGAAAATTTGAGTTAATACCTTGAGAAAAAGAAGATTTTATTGGATTATAATAATAATTCGGTGCTGATTGACATGTCGAAGCATGACCATAACAAAAACATTTTGTACAACCATCCGGATTCATTGGATCCAAATTGAAGAAACCTGGTCGACATCTGTTCATAAAAGATAAGAATATAATAATGAGTGATCCGAAAGTTTTTAGACAATATATTCGGTTACTTTTGATCCGCTAAAAAGTATCAAAAATGATGAGTTAGAACCAGAATTTTGTGCTTTTGGCAACTTTTAGCATAGAAATTTGGTCTCATGAGAGAACGTCTCCCATTCTGGCTTGCTAATCGAACTATTATTTTATCTATAAGTAGGCCCCAACGAAACTAGTAGAAGCTTATAAAGACTCGTCCACATTCGGTATTCTTCGCAAACTGTTACAACTTTACTAAATTTTTTTATCTCTAACAAAATATTGGTGACAAAAATTGAATTACGGAATTTCAGCATCAAATGAGTCCTTACAAGTTTCTACTAGTCTCATTCGAGCCTACTTATAAGTAAAATATCAGATCGATTGGCAAATTACACTTGAAATTCTTGCTTCATGAATCAAAATTTCTAAGGTCATATTCGAAAAGAGCGCAAAACGTGGGTCCTAACTCAGATACTTTCTAATGAGTTAAAGGTCAGTAAACATCTTGTCTAAAAACTTTCTGATCATTCATGAATATATATTAAATGGGACAAATATTACTTATCACAATTTTGTCCTTCGGCAAATGTTTTACAATTACATTGACCCGTTTTAGAATTACATTGAGGTGGTTGTAAAGAACCAGGTTCATAACAAGAACATCGACTATACAAATAATATGATCAATAACTAACAAGAAAAACAAAACACGAAATAAATTCACATACGTGCAACCATTTAATCCAAAATTATAATGATAAGGTGCACATTTATCACACTTATCACCAACTACACCCGGTTTACATCGACATTCACCATTGGTTGCACATTGAATATTTTCCGAGCCTAATGTCATTATTTATAATCAATATTTAACCTTTTAAGACTATAAACCAAACTTACCAATAGGATCACAACTACATGGCAAACATTCACCTTCACTCTCTGGTAATCGATAGAAACCTACTTGACATCTTTCACAATTAGGTCCACCACGATTACCAGCACAATCAATACAAACACTACCATGACCTGTACGTTCGTAAAGTTCTCGATTGAATGTACAGTTTTTAGCAAAGCCATTACAAACACAAGCTAAATAAAATACAATAGAAACAATTAAAAAAAGAAAAAAATTAAACAAACTTTTGCATGAATGTGCATCAATAACTCCAGCTGGTTGCCATGGGGCATCATTATAAGCTGGATGACACATATCACAGTCTCGACCAATTGTATTATGTTCACATTCACATTGAGTTTCATTTTTATATTCACCACCTTGTTTTGTACATTTATTTGCATGACCATTACAATGACAACTACAAACAAAAAAGATATACTTAACGAATAAAAACATATTTTTTATTTGTCTTACCGTCCACCAACAGCTAAATCTGAAATAGCATAGAAATATGTTCGAAGTACAGCTGGTTGACCAAACATTTCATCTCCAAATGTATTCATTCGAACAAGTTGTATACGAATTTCAGATGCTGTTACCCAATCCTAAAAATTATCTTTTTCATTAAGAAAAAACACATTGTTGAATAATTAATTATTCTTACTTGAAGATCACTACGCATTTCAAATGTAACTGCACCTGGTCGCCAATCAAGTGTACCAAATGCTACTTCAGATCCATGTAATGGTGTTAAATCACTAAAATCTTCTGAACAAATAGCTTCTGTATCAAAATCTGGATATTTCTTTGGTGGTAATCCAAATGTTAGCATACATGATGCACTATAATATTGATATGGTATCCAAGAACTATTTTCATGTGTACGTTTATAAATAACAAAACTTTCAGGTTTAGGTGATTGAAATGTTAATTTGATATAAGTAACATCATACGTTTTTCCTAAACGAGAAATAATGTTTTTTTTTTAGAAAAATATTTTTTTTTTATTAAGAAAACAATTCTTACCAAGATTAAGTGTTAAATTGATTGTAGTTGGATAATTAATTCCTTCGAGCATTGTTTCACTTTGCCACCATGTAAGATTTTCTCGTTGATTAAAATCAGTCATGTAACTGGGTGGATGAGCTCGTGATGAATCACGACTATTACATACTAAACAATTTTTTTGTTCATTACCCGACAAATAATCTCCCAAAATTCCACTATGTGGTGGACCTGTTTGAATACAATATTCAGTACCAGTATTTGTTGAATCAGTTTTCCAACGTTCACCACAAGTATTTGATGCAATAACAGGACGACGAAAAGCTGCATTAACAAATTCAGGTAAACAACGAATAGCAGCACCACTTGATTTATTATAACATGTTTGTTCTTCAACAACAACAGGAGGAGGAATTAATCCGTCATTTTGTTTCTTTTTTGTTGTAGATTTTTTTGGAGGTGAACGAGTTGTGGCTGTTTTAGAACTGGATCCACTTTTTTGTAATGACAAATTCGAAAATTCACCGAGTATAATTAAACATATGAATAATACTTTAATATTTATTGTATAAATACCATACATTGTCATTGTTCACTTTTTTTCGCGATAAACAGTCGCTTGCTGTATTTGTACGAGTGAAGAGTGTTTAATGTTCACACTAGTTTTGATTACGCGGCATGAGGTTTCGTAGTATGAAGATTGATTTCTTGCTCTCTTTCTATTCGCGTAATGTACAGACACAAAAGCTTTTTTTCTCTTCCCACCAACACTACAACGACTGTTGAATGTCTACTAATGTGGAGATATTGCGTTCATTCATGACCAGATATGACTCTCTGTTCTCTTACTTCTTTTTCGTTAGCGTCGACGAGAAGAAAGGCGAGCATCATCATCAATGCGTAAAGAAGAAAAAAAGGTCCGAGTATGAAAGATTGAACAAACGAACAAACCATTCATTCAACCGCACAAACGATGGACGATAACTGACCCAGTGCGTGTATGATGATTGTATATACATCGAATGAGAAAGAAAGAAGAAAAGTACGAGACTACTAATAATATAAAGACTGACCATATACACGTAATCATTTCTTTTTCTTTTATTCCTTATTTCAAAAGCACAACTAACACACACCAAGTAGTTCAGATAGAGATTAAAAACTTTGATTGCAAGATCAAATTGTTATGAAAAAAAAAGACCGAAAAGATATCACACCGGTGATACTAATAAATGAGTAGTAGGCGAAGTTGTTTGTTGTACGTCATCTGGCGCTTTGGTGGTATTCTTGGCATGCCGTTCACGAATTCGTCTCAAAAGTTCTTCACCTAAAATATAAAAAAGACATTTTAATAAAATAATAACTTTATTTTCTTCTTAAAAATAATAACTTACTTCGTCGTTTACTTTCATTAGGTTGTACGAGACGAGCTGTATCTACATTTTGACCACATAATAGGCATGCTTTCATTTTAATACATTGTAATTCTTTGGGTGTTGTCCATTCACCCTAGAAAAATTCAATGATTTCAAAATATTGAATCATTCAATGATTACCATAAATGAAAATTTTTTGCAATGTGGACATTGAACAGAACGATCAAATAGATTACCTATACAAAAAAAAATCAATTTTTTTAAAAATAAAATATAAACTTACTGGGAGCTAGATTTGTTAATACTGCTTCAAAATGATTAAGTATAGGCATCAGTACATTCCAAATTTCTTCTAAGGATTGTTCAACAATATTAGTACCACAATGACATATAATATATGTGCGATGATCTGTTTCCATAAGAAATCTAGTTTATGATGTAAATAAATTCTTTTTCTTTTTGATAAAGAATAAATGTTTGTTTTTTGCATACCTCACATCTTTTTCTTCATGTTCACCTAAAATAAAATTATTCCAATGTTTTTTATAAATAATATTTAATCTTAATATCGCTGAAACAGAAAATCGATGAAAAAATCCAAGTGGTAATGATTGACTTGTATAACGAATAATGATAATATTTTTTAAACTATTAGTAAACAGTTTTAGTTCGTCTTGTTGCTCATTTTGATTAATTAATGGTAAATAATAAGGTACAATAGCATAATCAAATTTAATTTCTTCTCGAACATCAGGATTCTGTTTTACATCAATTAATCGTTCTGATTTTTTTTCATTTTTTAATAATGGATCAGGTGTTTGAACATGAATGAGACGTTTTAATTGTCCTTTATTCATTTTTGGATAAGCTATTAATAAAAATCGCATTATTGTTAACCATAAATAAAAAAAATGTTCTTTTTTATGTAATAAACCAAACCATAATGAACGTAGAAGATCGGAATGTAAAAGACCATATTGAAGAAATTCTTTTTTATATGTTTGAAAATTTGATTCTGAAAGATTAGTTAAAGAGAAAATTTCATTTTTTTCATAATCAAGATATGTTGTTGACATATCATGACGAAATAAATTATATAAAAGATCAGTTAACCATGATGGACGAAGAAAAACAACACGATCTGTTGTTGATATTTCATTTAAAACTAAAATTTTTCCTTCATCATGTAATGAAAGTGTTATATCATTTATTAAATGTGCAAGACCATGTTTACTAATAACTCGATCACTATAATTTTCCCAAAGAAGATATGGAACAGGTAAAGATTCAGCTAAAGATTCAATATATTGATTTGTTTCAGCCCATAATGTTGGTAATATTCGATCGACATATGGAAATATAGGTTTTTGTGTTAATACACATCGTTGAATTGTCCGATTAAGTTCATCAATACCTTGAAATGTTAACGAACTAATTGATTGACACGGTTCAATTTGAATAGTAATATTAAGTAACGACGTATATGTTTTAAGACGATCGGAAAGTGATGATGAAATCGTGTGAAGAGAATGTATTGATTCCATTTCATGTTTTATTCGATCAATACGATATTGAAGATAAAATTTAAAGAAACTATTAATTTTTTCTAAAACTTCAATTCTAAAAAAACTGTAATATGTAGTCGATAAGACAAATAACTAAAACTTACTTATCTTGATTAGCTCGTTTATCATATAAATCAATGCATGTAGCAACAGGTAAGATCATAATTGCACGTGTTTTACTTGCCTTTTCACACAGCAGTTGTAATAATTGAAATAATTGTGTAATAGTATTAGATGATAGTATATCAAATTTACCATTGAATATATCTTCAATAGATGCAGGAGTTGTTTGATGAAAATCAGCTGTATGGATACAAATAAGATGAAGAGCACTGGTATCAATAAATGGTGACATATGTTCATAATAATCAGATGATCCATTAAACTCAAATACTGTTACTGGAAGAACTTTAATCACTTCTGTTGATACAGGAGGTCGAGGAGTTGCTGTCGATGGTGATGGAGTTGCTGGTTGAGGTTGATTTGATACTGATATATTTTGTTTAGATACTTGAGCTGACGGACTTTTTCGTTTGCGTGCATCCATTTCAAAACGTTGAAGTTGTATTTTAGGTAATTCAACAATTTTGGTACTTGAAGAAATCGTCGTTTTGGTTACTGAAGATGGTGGCAATGGAGCAGATGTAGGTTGTTTTGATGTTGATGATTGATCAACGACTGTTATCAAGCGAATTGGATATTGATGAACTAAAAACATGACATAAAATATCTTGCTTGTTAAGACAATCCAAATGTCTCTAATAGTGATAAAATCGAAGTTCATAGACTTGTGAGAAAAAGTTTCTAAGTGTCAAACCAGTTTTAAATCGGAACTATATGTCTAATATAACTTCTAATGAACTAAAAGTACCCTAAAAGAAAGAGTTTGGGCTAATAGCTAATTACTTCCTAGACACGGTATCTTTTAGCATAATGCCATGGCCACCCTCAGAAATATCAGGACAATTCATTATCGAATTTCAACTTTAAACTTTGCATAGAGACAGGTATCAACGAAAATATTTAGTATTGTAAAAGTTTTATATCTTTCGATTCCTTCTATTCTAAGACACGGCTATGATAAAAGCATGTTTTCTCGCGTGAATCATGTGTAACCACAAAACCGAATATTCGTATTTCAGAATAGATGTAATTGAAAATCCTAAAATTTTCACAATAAGCTATTCTTATCAAAAGCCTCTACGTATGCAAAGTTTCGACTCGAAATTCGAAAACTAGTTTTCCTAGTATTCCTATGAAGAACTACGGCATTCTGCTTTAAAAAAAAAGTACCTCAACAATAATAAGCCATTAGTCAAAACTCTTTTCAGAGTATTTATAGCTGATTAGAACCCATGTGGTGTACACAGCCTCAACTCAAAACTGGCTTGACACGTTGAAACATATCCTCGTTAATTGAGTATTTTACTCAACTCAAAATATACGTTCTAGTCTAAGTCTGAATGAGTACAACCTCATCATTACTCCGCTTTTAGTAAGAGGATATTCTTATGGTAAATGATATATTGAAAGAATGTGTTTCTACGGAAAAATTTGTGAATATGTGAGAGTGATGATGGAATAAGGTATGTTAAGCAAGAATAACTAATTTACTGATTCGAATAGTCAAAATAGATGATATCATTTCAAAATCAACAGCTAGAAATGAATATATAACTTGTCCTATCAGAAATCTTCCGAAAACAAAAACACTGAAGTCAAACTCTGAAGCAATTCAAGTGATTTTTTTGTGTTTTTTTAATAAAAGGCTGTAAATGTTTTATATCTGCAAACAAAATTTCCATATAGAACAGATCACAGTATCAGTCAAGATCTCAACGAAAGAGTTGGTCAAAGAAAGACATCTTCCACGTAGGTTTTTAGAACCAGAGATGTGCAAGGTTAAGTCTTTTTGGTTTCAGTTTAGGTCTAGAGAAAACTATTCAAGAATTTATTCGTATTACATCTAAAATAATTCTTCAATACTCGTTATTTTAATTTATTCAGTCGATGTCTAGCACTTTTTTGGATCATCTCTCTTGAACTATGTTCTCACTCATATGATTTATAAGATAATTTGCTTAAAACTACAGCATATTTTACTAGAAACTTGAGCTTTAATCCTGGTCTCAGCACCTTCTGCTTCCTTTAGTTCTGCACATCTCTAGTTAGGACGCTGCGATGTATGCTATAGTAGAAATTGTTAATCGGTACATATTACATACGGATTCAAGAAAAGATTAGTTCATTTTAGTAAATTTACTAACCATGAATAATTCTTTCTTGTGTTTCTTCATTGTTTTCATCGATGGTTATAGGCATAAGTTCTTCTAGACAATTTGCTAATGATGTTTTTCCACTCTTCTTTGGACCAATTATACATATTTTAAAACCTTGTCGAACATTAGCATCAATTTGTTGTTCATCAAAACAGTTTCTTATCATTCGAAGTACATTCGTTGTATTTAAACTATTTTCATTAAGCATTTCTGATGGAACAGCTGGTTGTGTTAGAGGATTATTATTTATTTTAAGTTCTCGACTTGTAATTAAATCATTATTTAATTTTTTAACTATATCATTTGAAATCATACGTATTTTATTATTTGATACATCAATTTTAAGTGCAATAAGTAATAAATAATCATAAAATTTTGTTAATTCATTAAATGATAAATCAATTGAAAAAATCATTGATGCACGTGTATAAGCAACTGGCATAGATGGTAATTTTGCTATTAAATTATGACTAAGATTAAGTACATCAAGTGTATTAACAAGTAAAAGATCAATTGGAAATGATGTTAAACGATTGTATGATAAATTAACATTCTTTAAATGATGTAATTGATGAAGACCACGTGGAAATTTAATTAATTGATTATGTGCTATATGAACATATTCAAGTTTTTTCATTTGTCCAAAATCAACTTGATCAATAGATTCTAATTGATTATGATCAAAAACAAAAAATTTTAAACGTTTTAAATTTACTAAACCATCATCAATTGTTGTTATTAAATTATGTTCACAATTTAATCTTATTAAATATTTATATGTATAAATAGCATTAGGTAAATATTTAAAAAGATTAAACGATAAATCAAGTTCTTTAAGACGTTTTAATTGTTCAAATATATCAGCCATATCAGTTAATTGATTATGTGAACAATTTAATGTTTCAAGTTCCGTAAGTAAACTAATATCTATTGGTAAATCATTCAATTGATTTTCACTTACATCAAAATGTTGTAATGTTTTTATTGATAAACAAACATTACGAATCATTTCAATATTGTTACATAATTCTGTTGTTGGCGTACGAGAACGTAAACGAGATATGGAACGAGAAAATACACCACCATTACAATCATTATCCGTTAAATGTATTGGAAAAAGATGTCGAATACCAGATGTACCAGCTTGAATAAATAATGTGGGATCCGGTGGTCGTGGAGGTATAAGAAGATTATTATTCATTTCCTTAGCTGATTTTTGAGCATGTCCTAATGGACTAGTTTGTTGACTAACATTGGTAACACGTAATGATTGTGATGTCCGAGTTGCTTGTGATCGATTCGATCGTAAAGCTCCCTTTTAAACAAATGTAGATTTAATCAGGCAAATAAGAAAATTCTAAGATATTTATACAGATTTATTTTTCTTTTTAATCGACTCACTTTAGTGGCACTCGACGCACGACGCCCTACCGCCGGCGATGGCACTTTCCCTGCTGTTGATGGAGCAACCGGCATTGTGTATCTCGTTTTTTTACGGTACACCACTACACAATGGTAACAACAACAGGACGTCAAATGATCGAGAACTTTGATTCTTTTTTTTCACAATTTACTTTATTTTTCTTCTTGATTTTTTTTTTCTTTTTCTGTTTTTCTAACATTCATATTTGCGCCTTCTTTTGAATTATCAAAATTTTTGATGTCAACATTTTGTTTTACTATTGACAACAATTCACTCATATATGCCCTTCTTATTTTTTGTTTCGCCTGATTATTGATCTAGCAAAAATTTTTTTTAGTTCCTGTCACATTTATTCATTAAGCTTTAAATTTTGTCCGGAAATTTCATACTTTTAAGTATCCCTAGGTCACTGAGCAACAAAGAAATTATGCTCCTTTATGATTTTAGTAATAATAAAATATACACAGTCAATTTGGCTGTGTAATAAATAGTTTATGAAGTGTATTTATTTTATTGACGAACAAGTTTTTTTTTCTTTCTTTTCTGTTAATCGTAGTTTTGACTTACATGAATGTTATTTCATTTGAAAAATTCGAACAATTTGTTTTGATGAGAAAAATAACTCATCATTCCGATTGAATGACATTAATCTAAGTTACTATGGTTCTCTGCCGTATTTTTATTTTCACAAAAAAATAAAAAAAAAAAACAGAATTTTAATTAAACAGATAAAATAAATTGAGTTATAAATAACAGAAAAGAATCTATTTAAATAAATTAAAAAGAAAAAAGTGTATACTAAGGGAAACTATGACACATATAATTATATTCAGAACATTTTATGTTGAAGGTCATAATGTTCACCAATTTGATTTTTATATAGGTTAGAATTACGTACTCAAATGACATTTCTGTTAGCTGTTTCTGATTAATTATTATGAATAGACAAACAGTAGTTTTTTTTTTTGTTCGGTTATATTTTAACTAGAAGATCTTGTAGTTCTTGTAATCAATGTCTTCTGCCGTTGAAATGCCATAAACAAACTAAAAATAAATGCTTCTAGTATGAGCAATCTATTGGTCGCTTTTTTATATTCATAGATCTTCCGATCATGCATTTAAAACTCTTTCGTGAAAGTTTTATAAATTATGATTCATGTATTTTTTTTGCAAAAAAAGACTCTGCATATGCAAATGAATTGATTCTATTTAAAATTTCGTCATAAAAAAATTCGATAGAAGAGATCAATTACAATAAAGGTTAGTTTGTCACGACATATCAAATTTCTTTCTCTTCATGTTAATAAGAAAAAAAATGATTCATCATCAGGCTATTGAACACTGATTTGTGCTGCTGATCATTGAAAAAACGTAAAATAATTTCATTGCTTTATTAATTTCTCAGAAAAATATCATTATTGAAGTCGCAAAACACATGCAAAATCTCTCAGTATTATTTTACTTTGATTATTCTGTATAATCCAACATCATTCTCTTTTTGGTGTCAAACTAGAGACCGATTATTATTCATCAAAATCCAGTTAAAATAACAATTTAAAAAAAAAATAAGTTCTAACAAAATTTACTTTATTACTTTCCATAAAACGATAAAAATCTTTTTTTCTTTGGCTAGACAATTATACTTATATAGCAATTGTTTGCATGATTAATTCGTGAATAAAAATTCTAATTTTTCAAATTTAATATTTTAAGTTATGTTTCAAATTTATATACAATATATTGCTTATAAACTTATTGTCAACACTGAAAATGCTTATCAATTTTTTTTTTCGTACGTTTCTTTGTTTTTTTTATCCATTCTCTATACAATATCTCATACAAAAAAAAGGACAACAAGAATTGTTTTTTCCAGACATGGACAAGCAAGAATACATCAGCACGATGGAAGAGAAAACTATAAAAAAAAGAAAAACAAACAAAAAAAAAATTAAAGTAATCGATGGCGGCATTCATCTGAACCACAACGGCAATGTAACACACGATTTTCCACTGTATCAACCTTAAATAAAACAATTATATAATTGTTTGACAAGAAAAAAACCAATATGAAAATTTTACTTCATACGAATAATCCCATACTAATTCTGTGCCAGCTTTAATATTCGATGCTGTAAAAAAAGCTACCCAAGGAAATCGTACATTCCACGTTTCAATAAATACATTTTGAACAAAAACATTTGGTGAACATGAATGATTATAAAATCTTGATACATTTCCTTTGAAATGAGCATCCATAACAAAGATACCTGAATCATAATTTATTTGTTGATAATCAGGAAATACTCTATTATTTACTGATGAAATATTTTTTTCTTCAATAGATGTATGTTTATCTAAATATGTGATTAATTACAATGAATTTCTCTTTTTTATTTTCGTATAAATTAAAATTTACTTTCATTATGTTGTATTTCTGATGTCCGATCAGAAAATAATTGATGATCGTCGGTATAGAAATCTGTTTGTTCATTAGATTGTTCTGAAAAAATAGAAATAAACATAATATTACAAAAGTTCAATTGAAATTAATACCTTTCTGAGAAATTGAGCGTAATTTTCTCTGTGATGATGTTGGTTTAAGTGATGTAACAAAATCTAATGCAGTAAAATAAACATCACCCATAGTTTTTTCTAAACCACGTCGATTAGCATCTTCATCATTAAGTATTTCTCCGGCATAAAAACTTAGAAAAGTACCAGCTGGTAAATCATATAATGTTCGTACACCCCAACCTTTTTCTGACGTATTATAGATTTGTAGAAGAGTATTTAAACCAAATTGCACACATCGATTTGTACAACGCGAATCACATTTACATTTACCATTACATTCATAAATACCTAAAAGAATAAAATTTATTATATATGATATTTAGTAAAAGATACTTTTAAACGAAACATTTTCTGTCGAAGAACTTTCAACAATCATTAAGAACGAAGCTCGTACGAATTGGATAAATCCATCATTGAATCTGGCTAATCTACAATAGCGTTTCTTTCTCTATTTTTGAATTCGTCAGCTGATTGAATTAATATATCGCAAAGAAATATGACATTATATTTACTATAATCAAAAGCTACCATGACTAAAGTCACGAACAGCGTCGACTAAGTTGTGACATAGACATGCTCTTATGGTTAGTTAGTGTGTATAGAAAGACTAAACAGTGAAGGACAAGAACTCTGTGTCAGACCTGCCTTCTGTCCAGAGCTACAGCTAGTATTAATAGTAAGAAAAATACTGAGATATTGCATCTGCCGCTAGAGATGTGCACGATAAACTTTTTTCGTATTCTGACTGAGAAAATTTCTCTATCCCTTATCTCTGCAAAACATTTTTAAAATTTTGTGAAGCTCTACGTTACCTGAAAAATATTTCGTAGTTCGTACGAAAAAAAAGAGCTCTATTCTCAGAACCTTTTATTATGTTGCATATCTTTATTTTTAACCAATGTCGAACATTTCTATTTATGAATAACTTAATAATTTGTACTGTCCTCACATATGTTTATGTTTCATCATATATCTACAAGAAAATATGTTTAACTATTAAGTGCCATAAGACTATATATTTTTGCTACAAGTAACCTTCTATATAACTGGTATTAATCAACAATACTATTTATTTTTTTTAAACATACCTGAATGAATTTTTTCCAATAATCGTCCATGTTTATAACCAAAATTTCTTTTAGCTAATGCATCATAAAGAAATAATCTCATATCATCTGTATGATCACGTCTATCATCATCTCCATCAATTGATTGTTGAAATAATTCTTTTAATGAATTAATTAAATCTTCATAATAATGTGATTGTATAATAGCATCATATGTTTTTTGCCAACAAGCACACTTTGTTGTATCTAAACAACCATCTGTACATGTACAACCATGTATATTATTTTGATCAATAATTATATCTGATGTTAATGGTATTCGTTTAGTAATATATTCAAATGGTTTTGGTAATGATGAATCAATTTCATTAACAAGCATTAATGGTACTTTTTCTTTTCCAAATGCATAATCTTCAAGATTAACATATGCTGTATTTGGTGAAATAAATTTTTGTGTTACACGACAATTCATATCAAATGTAAATTGTCGAATTGTTAATGGTGAATTTATTTGATATAAATATGTATGTAAACGTTCACCATCAGTAAACATTTGTCCACATGGTGATGCATATACAATAGTACCAAGATCATTACGTATTTGACGTTTCCAACCATGATTTAATGGTATTAAAAGAAAATGACATTTATTATCATTTATAGTCATTTGTTTATCAGAAGCAAAACGTTTACATGGTGGTTCATATGATGATACTGAATTAAATAATGGTTGAAGACGTAATGAACCACGATAAAGCCATTCATGTTTATTTAATATTGGTATAAATACACGCATAAGACTAGCATCAACTTTTGATACAATGGCATCAATCCATTGTCCATTTAATTCAATATTAATATGATCTTTAACAGATATATTAACCATACGTCGTTTAGGATATGTTAAAACATAATTCTCAATATATTGTCTTGTACCTAAATCAACTTTAGATAAATAATTTGATAATGGTTCAAGTAATAAACGTATGGCATTTGAACGTAAATAAAATGGTGCATCATTATCAGCAAATATTAAATAACGTTGATTATTAATAATTGATGGCTGTTCAGCTATAATACCACGTAATGGTTTATCAATATATCTTGATGTATCAGCATCACCACTTGGCATACAAAGTACACGTGTACCAACATTTACATTATCATTTATATTATCATTTAAAGCAACGCGTTCCGGTGGATAGCGATAATGATCTTGTGATGTTGGTTTATGATGACAATTTGATAATCGACATGTCTAAGAGAAAAAAAAAGTATTGATTTTTTTTTTTTTTTTTTTTTTTAATATTTTTTTTTACTAATATTTGAAGTTTATTATCATTTGCTTGTTGTGCTCGAACAAAATATGCCGTGGTCCATCCATGTGAAGGATTATAAACAAGTACACGTTG